TCAACACTACTGCTCATGGCCAAGGCCTTGCGGGGGTATGGCCCTAGGCCTGAGCCCTTGACAATACCCGATGTTGCGTGCACATCGACGACATGCATAGGTGCATATACTAGTACTCCGTATTCGTATTGAAAACAGTTCAATTGACCACTGAGTGGGCCTGGAAACAAACTTTTGACAAAAAGTTTAATTTTATTGGCAAAGTGGAGAACTGGAGATATTAACGGCCCCGGCTCGAAGACAGGGGAAAGAGAAGTTCCCAAAAAAGCTTCTCGAGCATTGGCTTGGGTGGGCATGTTGCCGGCGTTGGCGAGAGATTCCGGCAAGATTCCGTCGTGGGCCATGGCTGAGTGCGCGCACGGCGCGACCGGATGGGAAAAAGCAACAGCGTTGACGGGAAGTTATTTGGGACCGTCTCCGGCCGGAGATGTGCGGACCCAGTTCAAATCCAACTGCTTTTGTCAGCCCGTGGCGCCAAGAGCCGCCTCCTGCAAAACTCTTTCCTCCTTAAGCGGAACGGGTGAGGTGATGGAATCAGAGAGAGTTCCGGGGTCATATGGTCTTCCATGAACGGGTAAAATAAGCGTGAGGATTGCAGTAGTGTAGGTGTTCGGAGAAAACCCATACGGATACAATTCCATTCGACGCGCACGTCATCCAGCAAGGAAAGTGCTCGATTCCACCAGCATCGAATATCTGTGAAGCTGGTTTGCGATTGGTGACAAAGCGCAGAAAGCAAAGACCCCGGGCGATGCATGGCGTGCGTGGCCCATTCCCCAACATCGTGGGGTTCGAACTTTGCAGCACAGGAGAGAATGCCCAAAAGGGGATGACTCAGCCCGAGTCGGCACGATATTGGGCCGCTTTGAGGGCTCCGAGTTTTCACCCGCGTTCGCACGCGGCAACTTCGAGAAGCCCGACCCGGCAGCTGCAAGGATCATTTGATGCCAAGCACTGTAATTCGGGGCATCCCGGCACCCGCGGAGCGTTTGCGCACTGCATTCGGCAGCCCAACCGAGATTCCATGGCGGATTCACACGCTGGGTTCGGGCTCCCAGTCCGGGAGGAGGGAGACCCGGGGCTTCGGAGAGATCTGAGAACGCGTTGTTCCCCTGTGGTTGAGGGGGGGAGGGGGTCAGCCGCGTGGGTTGAAAGAAAGTTCCGCAAGGTCTTCGGGGCAACTAGTTACCTTCTTAACTGGTATTAAATAAACGTTTGACCCGCCCGGCTGGGATTGTGGTGTTTGGTTCCTCAGTCCTCTCAGATCATTTAACAACAATCCTCAGGAGTAAGCAAACGCCTTTAGAAAGACGATTGACCGGCTGGCCAACTAAACAGCAAGAACAAACAATCCGTTCCTCACGTGACCACCACAACCACAACCACCACCATCACCACCACCCACTTGTCCGCCATGGACACCAAAGAGGGTCTCCGTACCCCGCCGACCGAGTCGGCGGTACCCACCCTCGCCCCGAGCAGGACGAGCGTTTCAGACAACGGCAAAGAGACGGCCGCCGGAGAACAGACAGATGTCGGGTCGACCCACCCCGCCGAGACCGACCTCGAGACCCCCAACGAGAAGAGCGACGCATTGGCCCGCCAGGCCACGGCCACTTCCAAGTCCGGCAAGGTCCTCGAGCCGGCGCTCACCCGCGAGGATGGTGCCGAGTACCCCCGGGGTGTGACCCTCGGGTTGATTGTGCTGGCGTTGTGTTTGGCTGTGTTTACCATGGCGCTGGGTAAGTCAACCACGGACAGATCTGATCCGTGTCATAGACCAACACCATGCTGACGATATCGGCAACAGATAACTCGATTATTGCCACGGCTATTCCAAAAATCACTGACCAGTTCCACTCCCTGCCTGATGTGGGCTGGTATGCGTCTTGTATGTCCTTTCCAGATGAATTGTCTATCCCTTTTAAGGTATCCCGGAAACTAATACCTGCCCTCTAGCATACCTCCTCACCACTGCGGCTCTCCAGCTCCTCTTCGGCCGTTTCTATACCTTCTTCTCCATCAAATACGTCTTCCTCATCGCCATTTTCCTGTTCGAGGTTGGCTCCCTGATCTGCGGCGTTGCCCAGAACAGCGTGACTCTCATTGTCGGGCGTGCCGTGGCCGGTGTCGGAGCCGCCGGCATGTTCTCCGGCGCCCTCACCATCCTAGCCTACTCCGTACCACTGGCCAAACGCCCGCTCTACACCGGCCTCATCGGCTCCATGTACGGTCTCGCCTCCATCAGCGGCCCCCTCATGGGCGGCGCCTTCACCGACCACGTCACCTGGCGCTGGTGCTTTTACATCAACCTCCCCGTCGGCGGCGTCACCATGATCGTGATCTGGTGGTTCTTCCCCGACCCCAAGCGCCAGGCCGTGAAAAACGGCGACACCCTCTGGCAGCGCATAATGCGCTTCGACCCCTTCGGCACCATCGTCTTCATGCCCGCCATCATCAGCCTCCTGCTCGCCCTCCAATGGGGCGGCACCCAATACCCCTGGAACAACTGGCGCATCATCCTCCTCTTCGTCTTCTTCGCCGTCCTCATCCTCCTCTTCATCTTCTTCCAGTTCCGCCAAGGCGACCTCGCCACCGTCCCGCCCCGCATCTTCGCCAAACGCAGCGTCTGGTCCTCGGGTTTCTACATCATGACCATCTGCGGCGCCTTCCTCGGTTCCGTCTACTACCTCCCCATCTGGTTCCAAGCCGTCAAAGACGCCAGCGCCGTCAGCTCGGGCATCATGAATCTGCCCATGCTCATCGCCGTGGTCATCTCCTCCATCGTCGCCGGCGCTGCCGTCACCATCTGGGGGTACTACGCGCCTTTCATGATCATCAGCAGCATTGTCGCTGCTATTGGCTACGGCCTGATTACCCTCTTCGAACCCGACACCAACACGGGAACCTGGATCGGTTTCCAGATCATCATCGGCGCCGGGCTGGGCATTGGCTTCCAGCAACCGTTGATGGCGGTCCAAACCGTCCTGGACATCGAGGACGTGCCCACGGGCACCTCCCTCATCGTGTTCATGCAAACCCTCGGCGGCGCGCTGTTCGTGTCGGTGTCGCAAAACATCTTCACCAACAAACTGGTGCAGTACACGGCGGAGTATGTACCCTCGCTGGCGGATCCGACCAAGATTCTGGCGGTGGGCGCGACGTCGGTGCGGCAGTATTTTGAGCCGGCTCTGTTGCCGGCTGTGAAGCAGGCATTTAATGATGCGTTGACGGAGACGTTTATTGTGTTTACGGCGCTGGCGGCGGTGAGCATTTTTGGGGCGGTGGCTGTTGAGTGGAGGAGTGTGAAGGGGAAGGCTGTTGTTGGTATGGCTTAGAGTGTCTGTGGGAGACAGAAAGGGGAAAGGAGTTTGGGTGGCATGTTGGCTGAGCGATTGTGAGGCCGCTTTTGGCGTTTCTGTCTTGATACCCAGATAATGTGGCTTTTTTTGTGTTAATGTTCCATGAGGAGGGTACTAGAGAGCGTGCGGGTAGATGAGCATTGGCGTTTTGGGGATTTGGGATCGATCACATGGTTATACTACTTCCCGATCGGGGAAACAGATCTGGGATAATTTCCTGTAAAGATATAATGAATGGGTCATGGAGACGGATAATCTCAACTATTTCACTGTGTTTGGAATGTTCCCTATTAGAACTTCTGTGATGCCATTTCCAATCGTGTTACTACTCACTCGCGTGCTAGGGAAACACGGGAAGCAGACATTGGTTGTAGACTTTGGGTCACGACGGTCAGAGTGAGAGTGAGAGCGCCCCTGCATTTCAGCCACGAACAAATGTATCAATTCAGCCTCCAACCAAACCGGGATGACTTCCCCTTGTAAATAGCTATTATCCTAAACGCCGAGTCGTGTCTATTCTATTCTGGCTGTTCAAAGTTACATTGCGTACACGTGATGTTCATGCCAAGTGTCGGTTATGTGGTGTGACCCTTCCCTCATGTTACCCCTTAATGACTTCAAAGAACACCCGAAACGCCGCGGCCAAATTGTGATGTCTACTAGCTATGCGGAGGTTGTTATGTATATAAAGTGTTGCGCTCGAAAGATGGCTGCGGGGTGGGTAAGCGAGGGATTGGGGTAGTTAACCGCCCTGTGTCTCCTTCTGCGCTCCCTGGGTGGAAGGGTATCCGCTTATTCTAAAGCAGAGGCTCCAATCCCTCCGACGCTGTTAGTCCCTGGCATGTCCCGGTGCGGTACCTGCTCCGCGCTCGGAATCTTCGACATCCGGAATGCTTCTCGCTCCGATTTACGGTCATAGCTCAACTCAAGTTCCTGTCTTATTGGGCGCCGCTGTGAATGGGCACAGTCTTGAACCCTTCAACCGGTTTCTGCTTGAGCACATCGTCCAGGCGGCCAGCACTCGCAGCCACGAAACCAAGGTACGGCCTCTGCTCCATGTCAGCTTGTATTAACCGGGACGTGGTAGAGGGGGGGGCAGGATGCAAAACTCACGCTCGGGTGGACGACTTGGGATTGGTACTCGGCGTGGAATTGGGTACCTATTTGACGTTAGTATCGAACACCAATGAAAAACTTGCTCTCGTAAAGCAGAATTCGGCAAAACTCACCAACGAAGAAAGGATGGTCCTTCAGCTCGAAAACCTCCATCCGCTCACCCGTCTCGTCCTTGCCCACAAAGTGGAGACCCGCATTCTCCAGTTTCTCAACCAGCTCGGGGTTGATCTCATAACGGTGGCGGTGCCTTTCCTCGATGACCTCGACCCCGCCATACAGCGACCGCGCGCGCGACCACTCAGTGCCTTGCTGGAAGATGGTCTTGCGCAGACCCAGACGCATGGTGCCACCCATCTTCTCCTTGTCGAGCTCGGGCATGTTGACGACCACGCGGTCCTTGGCTTGGGCGTCAAACTCCTCCGACGTGGCCCCGGACATGCCGCAAACGTCGCGAGCAAACTGGATCGCAGCGACTTGGAAGCCAAGACAGACGCCGAGGAAAGGGATGTTGTTCTCCCGTGCCCACTTCGAGACCAGCATCATGCCCTCGGTGCCACGGTGACCGAAGCCGCCGGGCACGATGATACCCGCCGCGGTGGAAACGTCGTGCCAGGCCTTGTGGTACCGGGCCTGCGCGGGCCCGCCCCCGGTCGTGGGTTCGAGTTCCTCCGAGTCGACCCACATCAAATTGAGCTTCCGGCGGATGGTCATGGACGAATGCTCGAGGGCCTTGACGACGGATAGATAGGCATCCTGGCAGGTGATGTACTTGCCAACGAGGGCAATCTTGACTTCCTCCTGGTATGTCGGAGTAACGACCGATGTCCACACATCCCACAACGCTGAACCCTGCGCCGCCCTATCGGGGGTGATGGTGACTTTGTCCAAGGCCAGCTTGGACCGGAGTTGCGGGACAAGTTTTTGCTCCTGGAGGAGGAGTGGAACTTGGTAGATGGTGGGCATGTCGCGGACCACAAGGACTTGTTCCTTCTCGACCTGGCAGAAGAGGGCCAGTTTCGCGACAGTCGACTCGGCGAGGGGTGTTTCGCAGCGGCAAGCAACGATATCTGGGATTAAGCCGTGGCTGCGAATCGACTTAACCGCGTGCTGTGTTGGCTTGGTCTTTTGCTCGCCGTGCACGGTGGGGACGTAGGAAACGTGGATGTTCATGAAGTTGTTGGCGCCCGCCTCGTGGCGCACTGACTAGGGGTTAGCTGAGTTTTCAAGGCGAGAAATTCAGGGGTAACCATACGCTGTGTAAGAGCCTCGATGAACGGCATCTAGATGCATATCCTGTCAATAATGCTGTGTCGAATAAACCGGTGTGCCTTCCAACACAAGGCTGAAGAGCATTTCACGAGGGTATCAAACTCACGCTCTCGATATCACCGATCGTCCCACTATCAGAAAATGCTGTCAGCAGCCGAACTGAAGAGCCCTAGGTCTCGTAATTCCGCAATATAGCGGCGAATACTCCAACTGAACTCACCCAAGCTCAATGATGCACACATCAGGCTCCTCTCCCGTCCCATCAACTGGGATCTTGGACACCCGCTTGATCCATTCCTTAATAGAGTCGGTCACGTGCGGCACAATCTGGACCGTCTTTCCGAGATAGTCGCCGCGGCGCTCTTTCTGGATCACACTTAGGTAGACCTTGCCGGTGGTGATGTTGTGTTCACTGGTCAGGCGAACAGAAAGGTATCTCTCGTAGTTTCCAAGATCGAGATCCACCTCACCACCTACGGTTCACGCATCAGTCTCTAGCCGGAGATTACTTGAAAAGGAGCTACAAATGGGCCGTATTTACGAACCGGAGGTCAGGACAAAGCACTCGCCGTGCTCGGCAGGGGCCATCAACCCCGCATCAACAGAGACATAAGGGTCGATCTTGATGCAGCTGACACGGTGGCCGAGGGTTTTGAGGAGCTGTCGAGGAGTTTGTTAGGACAACTTGGCACGATGGCTTATCACTCTGGAGATGAATCCATTACGAACCAGGCCCGTGGACGAGGCGATGATGCCCTTGCCGACCCCTGACGCAGGTTAGCCTGATGTTACGATCTACAGATAAGGCGGACAGCCGTTCATCGTGTCATTGCACGAATGAACCAAAAGGGCGAGTTACCTGAAATGACACCGCCGGTAACCAGAACGTAACGCATATTGGGCGGTGTTCGGATTGGTATTGGATTCAAGGAGGTACGGCAAGACGGCGGGGTTTGGTTGACAACGTCAATGGGTGTTGACGATGTAAGGGACTAAGAGGAAAAATTTTGACGCGACGCGATGCACAAGGCAAAGCCAAAAATCTGAGTGCGGGGCAACCGAGGGGCAGGCAGCCTGGTGGGCGGGCGCTGGGCTGGCAGGGTCTTCTCAGATGGGGAGTTCGCCCTGCTGTCAGCTGAGGGGTCCACACCGTTTCAGCGCCGCCTTGCTGGAGTTTTCCCGGTTTCCAGGTTGGCCCTATGTAGTGGAGCGGATCTTGAATTCAACCTCAAAAGCATTCATGATACCGCTGGAGATTTTCGGTTTTATTGTAGTTTGAGAATCGGGGCATCGGACGAACAAGACCAGTATCATGCGCTTTTGAACGTTAACTTGTGCCCACTGATAACAGAATGGAGTTGCTTTGACCCCACCACACGCGACAACAGCGGGCGCTAATGCACCGAGGACAGGCGAAAAAATGCGGGGCATCGAAGCAACGGCAAAATGCCCAAGAATTTGGTCAATTTTATTTTGGACCCTTCCTTCTCCGAACAACGTCCAATTCTACAACTCCTCAACCCTCACACTTCCAACTCTCCGCATCATCCACATCACCCTTCCCATCCCACACCGCGCGCCGCGGCCACGGACAAAGCGGCCGCTGCCTCTTCACCCCCGACGCAGGGTCCACCAAATTCTCCCACGTCGTCGCAACAATCCTCTCGACCGCCCGACCTTGCTCAACCCAGCGCACCAGCGCCAGCAACGCATCATGCTCAGCGTCCTCAAACCCCGGCACCGACCATTGAGTGCCCCCACTGCTCGGATCACTGTTGTTTAGCACTATAGCCTGCGACGAACCCCCAAACACCCACGGCGCGTCAACCGCTGTCCCACCACAGTGCTGCATCCCAGGCACGAGAAACAACCGAAAAAAGTCATCAAGACTCTTCTGCGGGTTCCCACTCACCCCTCCTTTCCCACCACGACCGAGCGCCTCAATCGTCCGATTGACATACAACTCCGACCCCTTAGTCGGCACCAACCCGTCTGCCAAGCCATGGTACATCAACACCTTCCCCCCTCTCGCTCTCACTTTGCCGAGCGCTGCGTAGTCATCGGCTGTGGCGTCGCCTGGGTCGTGGATGTCGGCGTAGCGGATGACGGATTCGTTGAAGGTGCGCCAGTCCCAGGTGGGGTCGTTAAAGAGGAAGTTGCGGGCGTAGCCGACGCCGTAGGGGCTGGGTTCGGTGTCGTTGAGGATGAGGTCCCATTGGGGCTCGGAGGAGAGGGTTAGGCCCGGGTGGAGGAGTTCGGGGGTTCCCGCGGGGGTGGTTGTGGTGGTGGAGAGGAAGTCGTTGTAGATGTTTTGGGCGGTGGAGATTTGGGCCTCGGTCAGGCATTTGTTGCTGGTGGTGGATGAGCAGAGCAGTGTGGTGAGGTCCGGACTGCACCGCTCGGGGCTGCTGATGATGCCGTCGAGGACGCCGTCGGTGCCGTCGCATTGGCGGGTGACTTCTTCGGCGAGCACCGCGACGTCATCCAGGCTGAGGAATTTCGGGTCCGTCGCGGGTAGGTTGAACAAGCCTACCTGGGTGAGGTAGTTGTTGAGGTGGGACGTCCACCAGGCCGCAGCACCAATGAGCGCACCGTCGAAGCTGTCCGGGGATAGCTGCAGCTCTTTGAGACCCTGTCTACCGCCGGTGGAGCAGCCGGAGTAGTAGGAGAAGGTGAGTGGCTTGGTGTAGTAGGCGTTGACGAGCTGTTTGCCGAGGACGGTCGCGCCGTGGATGGCACGCCAGCCCCAGTCGATCCTGCTCTCAGGTTGGTTCAGTGCCCAGGCGCTGTCTGTCGCGTCCGAGTTGTGCCCAGTGTCGGTAGACACTGTCGCCATCCCGTACCGTGCCCCAGAACCCCTAATTAACGTGTTAGTGTTTGCCTTTTCGGAGTACGTAAGACTCAACCCGGTACTCAGTGGTAAGTACTTCGTAAAAGAACCAAAAAAAAAAAGGAAGAAAAAAAAAGACAACGCACATCTCAATCCAATTAATCCCCCCTCCAAACCCCCCATTCCCCACCACCAAAAACCTCCCCGTCCACTCCTTGACCAACGGCAAAAACAACCCAATTCGGTATTTACTCGTTTCCGAACTCTGCACCGCTACAGTCACGGCACACAGCGCAGGCAAATTCGTCGGATCCACCGGAAACGCCAAATTCGCCTCCCCTTCGCCATAAGTCCCGCCTTTCTCAACAACCGCGATTTTCTCGAGGGTTGTGCCGGCGGGCAGGAGGGGGGTGAAGAAGGCGGTGTTGCATTTTGGTTGAGGAGTACCGCTTTTGGCGAAGACGGGAAGGGCGAGGAAGAGGGAGGTGAGTGTTATGAGGATTGGGAGGTGTGGCATTGTTCGTGGTTGGGGTTCATTAACTCGGAGGTAGAATTAGAACTATGAGACAACGTGGGTGATGAAATTGTAGGATACAGAGGTCATGGGGGGTTAATAAAGGTTTAATATCTGGGAACGGGGCGTTCCGTGGTAATGGGATTGATGCGGGAGATCGGCAGCGGATTGAGCTGTCAAGGGGGTGATACGAGAACCGGGTTGCGGTGTAGTGTAAAAACTATGAGTAGGATTGCGTCTGCATATTTACCAAGCTACGCCGTACAAAAACACCTGGTTGTAACCCCTGAACCTGGAACTTGGGCCCGTGCCTGTGTCTGTGACCTCTTCTTTCGAGGTATTCAGACGACGGCTCGACGGTATCTTGATGGGTGGAACACAACCTCGGTATCGTCATTCTGGAAGCATACTTGTGATTTGTTGCTCTCAAGACGAAGCCTCCCTTGGTTCTCAGGGTTGTTTCCATGGAGGCCAGGAAGCCAGGTTGCGGAACAGTCGGTGATTCAACAGTCATTAAGCGAGGTTAGCAACGCAATAATCCGACTGAGAGTACACTAAAAGTTGGTCGGCACATTAATAAAGCGCAGGGTGATGGCAAGGTATGCGCGTGGGCGGGGTCTGCATTCTCATGGGCTCCAGAACCAAAGGATTCTGAGTGCTTGGAGCTGCAGACGGCTTGGCGAGTTCCGCTCTCCCCGGATTCGATTCTGTTGTGTTACATGCCAGGAAGGAATTGAGTCTGCTGACCCGGGGGTTGCAAGCTCAACGTGGGACTGATACGACCTGTGGGACAGATGGAAGAAGAGGGTTGGTACAGTGAGTTGTTCGATGAAGGGTTCCAGAAGTCTTATGCTGACCCCTGAATGCTGCATGGAGTTCTTTCTTTTATCTTCAAACACTTGGGTTTCCGAGGCTTGTTGCTTGTCTCTTAAATAAGTGGGGCCAGCCAACGGCAAACAAGAGAAGAACCTGATAGTCTTCTCCAACCCGTCTCAACATTAGTCTGAGGGCCGGTTTATTCAGGTATTGGAGATAGCAGACAAGAAGAGCAAAAACAACTAGTCAGTCGTTGCTTTCCTTCGCGCCTAACACGTGATGGACATGCTAGACCTCATACGTTTAGCACTTTCTTTAGGCACCTTGGCCAAGGCTTAGCCTAACGTCATGTGTATTGTACTTGCTAAGCGTGGATCGACATCGTTCAATATCTCATTCTCGCAATAGATTCATCACTCTCATATTATCCCGAGACACCATGTACCCAAGATCCCCTCCACTACCCAACAGCATCATCACAACTTAAACAACCGCACCTCCTGACCACCACTCTCCCTAACCAGCTTCCGGTTCTTATACCCATACAACACCCTTAACCCAACCGACCCAATGGCCACCACAAACAACATAGCCGCATTAACCCAATGCCCCGTCGGAAACCCCCTAGCCTTCTCCTCATCCTTATAAATCCACACCCCCGGCATCTGCCCAATCCCAGCACCAAAACTAACATTGATCGCCACGGCCAAGCCAACAGACGCGGTGGAGTACACGTTGGAGGTCAGCCAGCCCAACATGGGCGGGATGCAGGCAAAGGAGCCGGCTGAAGCGACGATGAGACAGCCGTAGCGGTGGACGTAGGCGTCGGGGGGGAGCAGGGCGGAGGCCATGAAACCGATGCCGCCGATGAAGGCGAGGGTGGCGCTGTGGAGGCCGCGCGCGTTGAAGTGGTCGGCGGAATAGGAGACTAGGATTTGGGTCACTGGTGATTTGGTCAGTCTTGGTTTTTTTTTCCATTCAAAATTGACAGCATGAGAAAAAGCGAAGCAAAACAAGGAAAGGGGTAAACGGGAGAAGAGCTTACCATAGGCCGCAGCATACGGGGGCACCGTCATAAGCTGAGCTTGCAGATCGACATAGTTCAGCCCGGCCGTGATAGACGGCGTGAACAGCGACAGCGAGCTAAACGGCACAGAAATACCAAAGTAGATCAAATAATGCCCATACAACCGCCAATCCGTCAACGTAGCCTTCGCATCCGCCCAAGTCATGCTCGAGTGACTACTCTTACTCCCTTCCACCTTCAGCCTCGCCACCGCAATCTCCCTCTCCCGTCCCTTGAGAAACTCCTCCGGGTAATCCGGCAAAAAGAACCACACCAACACCGCCGACGCACACGACGGCGCGCCCTCAATCAAAAACAACCACCTCCACGCCGGCAGCCCCTGCGCCCGGTTCATATGCCCGATCCCATACGCAATCGCACCACCAAACGCACCCGCCAACGTCGCGCTCGCCAGGATAAACGCCACCCGCACGCTGCGCTCGTCCGTCCGGTACCAAAACGTCAGGTAATACACCAACCCGGGGAACAACCCGGCCTCGGCCATGCCCAAGAGGAACCGCACCCCCGCCGCAGCGGGGAAACTCCGCACGCCGGCCAGGCCCATGGTGATGGCGCCCCAGGAGAACATGAGAAACGCGATCCAGCGGCTGGGGCGGAGTTTTTTGAGGAGCACGTTGGAGGGGACTTCGAAGAGGGCGTAGCCGACGAGGAAGACCATGAGGGCGACGTTGAACTCGCGCGGGGTGGCGCCGATGGAGGTCTGCATGTCGTCGTGGGTGGTGGAGTTGAGGATGCGCGCGTTGCCGATGTTGGATCGGTCTAGGTTGCAGAGGAAGTAGATGAAGGCGGAGAGCGGGATGATGGTGAAGTCTTGGTGCCGGAGGAGGCGCCGCTCTTCGGCCGGGGTGTAGCTGACGGGGACGGCATCTTGGGTCTAGGTGAGGTGTGAGTGAATGGATTGTGGGCGTTGTCTGGTTGTTGGATATTGCTGGGGTGAAGTCAAAAGTGAAGGTGTTTCGTGAGCGGGCATACCTCGATTGTCTTGGGATCTGGGTCGGCGCTTTTGAGATCCTGTTGGGCGTGGTCCGCCTTCTCGGCGTCGTGCTCATGGAGCGATTCGGATGCCATAACGGCGGTGTGTGAGTTCTTGATCCAACGGATAAAACGATGGAGAGAAAATGGTTTGAAAATCTTCAACGGTTCACCAGCAACATGGCGAAGAAGCTCGCTCAATTATAGAGTTCGGCCGCTGTCCTGCGGGGAAGAAGCTCAACCACCAAAAAACACACAAAGTTTGGTTTGGTTCTTGGGGTCAGCGGTCTGGGGACCAAGAAAACTGCAGACACAACGCTGCAGACAGCAAAGATCGGCAAATTTAAACCCCCAGACTGGTCGCGACCCCAGCTTCCCCAGCCATCTAATCAATATTGGGCTGTCAAGTGTAACCTTTGACAGCCAGCTGCGGCCGGCAGACCGTCCGTGATGACCGTCAAAAATGACCGTTCCTCGAGATCCCCGGTCGGCATTCCATCAGCCGACATCCGAGTCAATATCCGTGTGCCGAGTGCGGGGAACGGAGAGTTTTGAGCACGGTTTCTGGGTTCTGAGTTCTGGGGAAAGCTGGTGTGGAGCGGTCGGACCTGCCTATTTCGGTGACACGCTGGGCACTTTGACTTTGAGAGTGGAACACTTTGAACTCTTCAATGTTTGTGAGATCCCCCTAGTTCTCGAAATGTCCGAGTTGAGGGTGAAGAGTTGGATTGAGGAGGCGGCTTCTTGGGCGTCGTAGAACGAGCTTTCTATGCATTTTTTTGAGTGAAATGACCGTTGCAAAAGGTTCGTGCTCCTGATGAGCTTGTCGTCGACCAGTCATGGGATACAACGCTACGGGACATGTTCTCGGCAGTTAAAGGTGGGATGCAACACTTCAATCCCATTTTATACCCATGGATGACAACATGTTAGCTAACCTTGAGTTTGATCAACGGCCGACGGTCGAATTGTGTTTTATTGTGGTCAACGATTTCTCAAGCAATCAGCATATCATAAGAGATCCCCAAGTTTAAAAGTCACTTTCTTGGCTTGGGCGATGAGTCTAAAAGATTTAACAATAAGTACGTATTTTCAACGAATACCTACGTATGAAGTAACACAGAGTCCACTACCCAGAGCTGGACAAGCAAATGTGGTATTTGGTCTCACTTAGAACGACATTCTCAATCACTTCATTATCTCAAGTTGATCACGGTTTCATTCCAAAACCAAAGTAACTCATATGAATGAAGGAAAATAACTTGAAAGAAATAGGTATCATCCAACCACAAACATAAAACCTTACCTCACCATCCTCCACCGCACCTTCAACTCCCTATCCGGTGCCGCAGCCACCGAGTTGGCGTAGTTCACATCATTTTGCGCTGCCCGATCCGACACCGACCCATCCGGCTTGAGCCAGGTGGGTTCCTCAATCTCAAACCTGGACACCACCATGGCCGCGGCCAGAAATACTTCTGGCTTTGCAATGTTGCGTCCAGGGCACATTCCAATTCCGCCACCTACTGTTGTTAGCTGGGATTCAACACAGACAAATATGGCATGTTTGTGAGAAACGTACCGAACGGGAAGAAGGATGCGGATCGCCCGGCTAGAGAGAACTCGAGCTTTGTCGAGGCCTGACCTGTAACTTCATCCTTTACTCGTTTCTCCTTGACATGACGGTATGCCCAAAACTCAGATGCCGGGTGTTCCGCCGTGCTCCCTACTAAACGTTAGCAACTGAGCAAATACCAACCGGATATGGGGAAGTCCAGGGCTAAACCTACAAACTGCTTCGTCGAGATGTCCCACTTCCGTCGGAGCTTGCAGGATCGAGCCCTTGGGCACCGTGTAACCGGCCACCTTGATGGGCTCCGCACATGTCCGGGTAATGAGCACGCCGACATGGAGACGGAGTACTTCAGTGTAGATAGATTGCAGAAGGGGCAGCGCGGCCAGCTTCCTGTGATCATACCCCTTGAATGAACCGTCCTGGTCGTCTCGGGGGAGTTCCGCCGTGGCGATTTCCTCCTTCACGGCCCGGAGCAACTCTGGGTCCTTGATGAGTTCCATGACTAGCCAAGTGCAGACGGGGATGGTGTTGGCGTGGAGGCTAGATCAGTTAGCATAATTATCAAGTAACGAGAAGAGAATCGCGGTTCATCAAAACATACCCAAACAACAACAAAATAAACACCGGCCCCATGCTCTCCGCCCCAAACCCAAACCCCCTCGCCCACTTCGCCAACCCCCTCGACAGCGCCGACCCAAACACCGGCTCCCACGAATCCGGCTCCGCCAACACCGGATCCGTCTCGGCCGCATCCCAGTCAAACTGCGCGTCCGCACTCTCATACCACCGCTGACACATCTCCGTAAACTTCGCTCGCGCCTGCACTGCGGGTCGGTTCAGCCAGTCCGGCACGCCAAACGCTAGGGTTTCGACGTGTTTTTCGTAGGACCAAAAGGCGTCGACAAAACCTGGGTTGACGTCGAGCGCGAGGGGGCCGAGGGTGGTGCGGGTTGCCGCCGCGGTCATGGTGCGCTTGAGGGTGTCGTAGATGTGGACGTTGGAGATCCATCCTCCGTTCGAGGGGGACGAAGAAGATGCTGCGATCAACTCCTCATCAAAAAACTGCTGAAACAGCCCTGCAAACCCATCCACCGCCTTCGTGCCCACCATCGTCGCATCATACAACCTATGCAACGCATACCACACCCTCTCATCCAACCCCATTGTTCCATTCCCACCAACTTCCCCTCCAGCGAGAGCAACCTTCGCGGCCTTAGCAGCAGCAACACTCCCCGTCCGCGGCACAGTCCCACTCCCCGTATCATCCCTCCTTAGCTTCTCCAAATCAGCCGGCGCGTACCCCGCGCTCTGCATGATACGGAGGATCCACGGGTCGGAGTGGCAGGTGGCGCGGAACATGGACGACGTGGCGTGGGGACCGCCGCGGACGAGGTAGAGATCGAGAGGGCCGAGACGGCAGCGGATTATGGGGTGGAGGGCTAGGGCGGTTCTGTTGTTTGGGGTAAGTAAGTGGTTGGTTTGGTAGGTTGGGAGGGTGAGAGTTTGGTGTTGAAGAGGGTTTAGTAAGAGGGCTGAAGACTAAGAGGGTGAGGACTAAGGAGGGAGGTGTGGATTCTGGTTAGGGTGAAGGGGCTTGCGGGAAGGATCTAGCTTGCTTGGCCGCTGGCTAGCGAGATGCTTGGTGCTAAGGCGCGGGAATCGATGGGGATCTCTTGGGATGTCTTGGATCATGAATGTCATGAGATCGTGGAGATCCCAGTAACTTGGTTAGACCATGATCAGTGATCAGTGTCTGACTTACCGAGCCCGGGTAATAAACAGCCGCTTGTTGGTCAAGAACTGCCACAGATTCGACACGAACGGGATCGTCTCGTCCAGTCGTGGCGGCCGCTTGGCATCGCGGTCTTGCTTGACGAAGAAAAACACGGCCACCAAGGGCAGAGTGACGAGCAGTGTTGTCAACGCCAGGTTGGATTGGCTCGCCGTTGCTACGGCCGTCATTTTTTCGATGATGAGCTGTGTGTGCGACGGCGGCGCGCTTAGCACGCCGGTCTGGTGTGTGCTGTTCATCGTGTTTGAGAAGAAGGCGTTTTCTCTTCTCGCTGAGTGTGTCCCTTCGAGAGATGGCGTTCACAGTTTTGAGGTTGATCCCAGTTCCCTGCATTACGGGTTAGCTGCCTTTCTCATTGCCCCTCTTCAGAATTAGACCACTTACACGACGACAACCTTATGATGAAGCACCGGTCAACTCAACTAAACAACTTGGAATAACCAGCAACAAAGTCAAGAATCCGAGTACAGAAGTTTAGAACTAAGAACAAAACCCAATGATCAAGGCTCCAAAATTCCAGCAAGAAATTACCTAGCAAAAAGCAACCAATACCCTCCATCCGGTTCACCACTTCCGGATCTGGCCCCCAGCTCAGCTAACTGCCCGAAATAGGCTCACAAGCACGGCGATAAATCCTCTCAGCAGCAAAGCTAGACAAGGCAGACAAGCGACAAGCGCCGGTTCGTCCAATACAATAGGCTCAAAGCCGTTCCCCCACCCCGTGGTTGCGGCACAGCACTTGAAGTTCCGAAGTCCTCCTCGGAGCTGGGGCAGTGGGCTCGCTGGGACAGGGTGCCTGCCACAAATGAGGATGGTCCGGACCGCTGACTGTACACACGTTGCACAACTTACACTCGGGCTGGCTGGACTTTACCATGCATGCAATGATTAGACGTGTGATATCCGTTTGTGTGTGTGCTGTGTGTCAGACAACCTGACAATTCATCACCCTCGAGATGATCTCAGAAGGGGGAGCCTAAAATGCGTCCCGTCTCTCCCGTCCGTCCGTCCGTCCGTTCGTCCCGTGTGACCGGTGAAAAGGTGTGTGAGTCTGGAGATAGCAAGTATCAACAGGATGACAAAACCGCCAAAAGTTTCTTTCGGGGATGTTCTCTCCCCGATTCGGGCATTGGTCTCGGTACCGCCCCATTCCTACTACCACGTCGTAAAAAACCCCTCTTCCGCTTCGTGGTTATCAGTGTGTGTGTTGCTCTGTATCGGCTGCGCCGCATCGTTTCAGACCTTGCCGTAAGTAGGTGGGGGTTATTGTATTGTATTGTATCGTACGTATTGGTATTTATCCCGGATCTTCCTCCGTCTATTTACTCCACGTGTATGTATTACACCAAAATGCTAAGCGACCCCCAAGGAGGGGCTCCGGACCTTCGCCCGGGCAGTGGGGTAACACATCTCCCTCCCCAGTGCCCCAAGGGAGTTAAACGAGACCGAGGTTCCAACGACGACGACGTTGATGAGGGAGACGACCTTGACGACTGGGACAAGGTTCATCACCCAAGTATCCATGGGTCGCACGTGCAAATATCCATGTAGCACGTTTTGCCGACTCGGCATCGGACTGGAGCAAGTGCAACTGGGCAGTCCCTAGGCTGCCGTGTTTTGTCGATGCAGATCGTGGTATCGTGAGTAGTGTATGGAGCTCTGGGGTTGGAAAGAGGGGCAGAATTGGACGGATGGTAACAGCCGTGAAATTACATTACCTGATGGAGTTATAGTGTGGCTTTGAGGTCCTTTCAGTCAGGGGAGTCGAGTTAGCTCCGGAGATCTCGGCTGGAACGACCTTGACGACTCGAGAGCCTGGCGGGTTTTGGCTCGTTTGTTGCCCGGTCTTGGTTAGGTTCCACGGGTACGGCGCGGGAGTGGCGCAGGAACAGATGGAGGGTGGGCATGGTATGATTGGTATCGTGACGAAGTGGGGGGATGTTGATGGCAGCGTAACTTCGTGACGGTGGCGATGGGCGCTGGTGCTGACTGTGCCGCAGGCTTCTGCACTGCTGGTGAGACTTCGCGCAGAAGATGGTAAGGATGGGTACCACTGCCGCAACACTGGGTGTGATAGGCTCCAATTTACCAGTCTGGCCAGGCCTTTCGTGAGCATGACAAAATAGAACGGCATTTCAAATTCCAAGGAGAGGTACGTTACGGCCCCACCAATGAGTAACCTGTACTGTACACTAATGTGTAAGTTTCATGACCCACCCCCCATCTCATCGACAAGCGCGAACAGGCGCGCAAAGAAGCGGCCCCTCTTGGAATGGTACGGTGGCATTAGACTTAACGTCGAACGAAAAGACGGGCGAGAAGGCCTATTATCGCGCTCGAGAGAACGGAACTTCCTGGCCGATTGCCCAGCGGGGTCATGATTTCGCAGGTTGTATCCGTACCGGCTCCCAAACCAACCCGAATCTGCCGATAAAAGTGAGGACTGAGGCAATAACTCGAGTGAGAGAACGGTCCTCGAAGTGTGCGGCGCATGCGGCGCGGCCCCGGAAAATCGACCAAAGGTCTGTGCTTCCGCTCCGGCCCGTGTCGTCTGATCTTTGTTTCGCTTCTCGCTCACCCGAGGCTTAGCTGGCTGACGCGGGGAAAAGAACAGGGGATGGATTGGGACAGAATTCGGCAGTTCAGGGTCAAGGTGTAACTCTCTCGACTGTGGTGTTGAAGTTGGGCGTTGGGTGTTGTGGTGACCGCAGAACGTACCTTTCCTCGCAATGGATGATTTGTCTTGCTTTGGTCTTGCCCCTGGGTCAGTCCAAATCTATTCGGTAGTTGTGACTCCAAAATGATCTTGATTATTCCAAAGACTTGACTGCATTTCGAAATTTGGATCCGGTCATAATTATACAGAATACACAAGCCCCAAGGTGGCTTAAGAAATTTACAGCAACGCCCTCCAAGAAAACATTAAACCTCCTAAAGTGCTCCCCTTCCTCCCGCGTCGATATCTTCCGACACGATATCCATCGCCTTATCCGTCCCCGAGTACGAAACCCGCCACTTACGCTCCGGGTCCCGGGGGTGCAGCTCGATGGGAATATCCTCGTCAATGACTGGGAACCCAGCCTGCAAAGGGGAGTTCTCCCACGTCGGCGTGGGCCACTTGCCCGCAACAGGCACAATGTCAAACTGCAGGACCAACAGTGAGGCAAGAGACAGAATCTCCGTGCTCGCAAAGTGCCGTCCGGGGCACAGCACGTGGCCGCCACCGAATGCACGGAAGGCAACACGGTTGGGCTTCTTCGCAGGCTTCTCCCCCGGCGCCAGTGTTTGCGGTGCAAAGCGCTTGTGGTTGAATTGGGTTGCGTCGTCACCCCAAGCGTTGGTGTCGCTGTGCTGAACCAGAGCCGGGGTCATAAGCATGGCCCCTTTCTTGAGTAAAAGAGGCTCACTGCCACCGGCGTCGATCAGAACGTCCTCGAGAAGAACACGTGGGCCAGGGTTCACCGCACGGAAGCGCAGAGTTTCTTGGAAGGTGCTCAGCAAAATTGGGCAGGCCTCCTTGATAGCGGCAAGGTCGAGGGAGCTGGTCGGGGTGCCGTCTTCATCTTGGCCCTCGGTCACAAGGGCAGAAAGCTCGGCACGGACATCGGACAGCACCTGGCTGTCTGAGAAGATCTGGTACAGTACCCACAGCGCACACGGAGTCGTGTTGCCGAGGACCGCAAACGCATTGCCAAGCTCTCCACGGCCGATGTCGTCGGTGGACAGGCCGAACAACTCGCCGTGATGCTCGACTCTCTTGCGAACAAGGCCGGATCCTTCCTTGTAGCCGCCATTGCGCATGTACTTGATCATGGCCTTGGCAGCAATCTCACGCGCTTGGTGCAACTTGGGAAAGAAGAGCCAGGCCATTGGGAACATCGATAGCGTGAGAAAGCCTGTCTCAAAAAGCCTCCAGGCTTCAGAGACTTCGGGGTCCCGGTAAGGGTTTTGAGGACCCCAAACCGCTTCTGTCGTCGAGTCCACCATCAACTTGCGAGACCACTGCCACAGGCCGAACTTCAGGTCAGCACCGCTTGAGGCACGTAGCTTGGCCATCTCGGCAACGTAGACCTCAATGGCGCGGCGGTTGATGGCGTCCAGGTCGGCACCGGGGGCCATGGCCGGCATGATGAACTTGGGCCAGCTGGTGCTGAAGCCGTGCTCACTCGTTAGGTCGCGCTTCATGACTTCCACAGCCCCCTTGCTCATGCCCACAACGTTGCCAGCATCGGCGGCGATGGAAGCGAAGCTGATAAGACGCCATTGCTTTTGGATTACGGGGATCAGATCCGTGGCGTTGACGATGTACATGCGTTGGAACGGCAGCCGCAGCGTGTAAATCGGCAGCCGATGTTCGTCCCTGGCACGTGTTAGCCTCATGTCACTTCCAGGCCCTCAAGCCCCGCTAGTATGTGACCTTCGCGGGGAATGTTACTCTGTGGACAAACTTACCTCAGACGGATGTGGAAGCGGGACTTTTCCCGGATCATGCCCACCAAGGGCTGAATAAACGGGATATCTGTCAGGATGGCGGGCGGCTCTCTCTTGTCTTGTGTGAAGCTCAACAACACGCGGAGAAACACGTAAGTTGCGGCGAGGCCACCAAAAACGAGGCTAATGGTGGGCGCCATGATTGGACAACGGATGAGATGGGACTCCGAGGCAATGGACCAAGAACTTGGGACGTGAAGGTCTGAAGGATTGGGAAAGAAAGAGGGGTTTGTCGCAGGTTGGTCAGATTCGAATCAAGATGCGATTGAGGGCATCTGCCGGTCGGATTGTAAAGATCCAAAGGGTTGCTAATGCAGAGGAACTCGGAAGGAAGAGGCGCTGCGTGGGGTGAGAAAGGCGCGAAAAGGCAAAGGATGGGGAAATAGGGACGACGGGAGTGCGGAGTGGAGTGAAGGTCTGCGGACCTGCCACTCAGTTTTGAAACAAGCGCGAGAGGGACGAGAAGAAGAGAAAAGGCCAGGTTCTCAGGGTGCGGCAGGCGCGTGTGAACCAACAGGAGGGCTGAAGAGGCCAGAGCTTTGATGTTGGTCGGTTACCCGATCGGTACAGTACCCCTCGCGGTGGGTCCTTGGTCATGCAACACCGTAAATGTGTACCTTACAATCGTCAACCTGCTTCTCACCTTAGGCCACAACGGAAGAAACAACTCAAGCATGATTTAGGAATGGAAAGAGAAGATCATAGTAGTTAAAACACTTGCCGAGTTTCTGGATCGATTCTCCGGGATACATGTGCGATGTCGGAAACATGTTCGTTGTGCGACGTTATTTTCAGACAGGTCGTGAACCAGGGTATTTGTCACCTGCAGACACACCCCGATTTTCCACGGTCACGCCCCTGGGACTTCCGGGTTCCCCTCGCCCCACATAGTCAGGAACGTCGGTTGCGTTTGTCACGCTAGTTGCGGCAGAGCGGGCAGCAAGAGAGCTGGAATCAGGCAACGAAAAATGCTGTTTATTTTCGTCGAGTTGATTAGAATTTGAGCGTTTGGACTTTTGCTGTCAAGATGAAGATCGGTTCTCGGGAAAGAAAAGAAAGAGTGGCCGAAAATGAAGACCAGGGGAGAACTCAAACCGCTGGGCGCGGTGCTCGCACGCAGAAGGCGCTGGGGGCCGAGATCTCGGAATGGCCTGGCCACCGATGAATAAGTGGGGTCGTGGGACAAACAGAGTGAATCCCGCAATCCGTTGCAGCTTCAACGTGCAAACAACTCGATCTCTCATCTCGCTTCTCTCCCGCACGCATGATTAACAGCGGCCTGTTATTGGGCAAACGCATTTCCGGCCGCTTTCCTCATTGCCGTCCCCGAGCCACACATTGAGAGCCTCGCCTGCTCAACCTTGTTTCGACGCTGACTGTGCCGCCCCAAGGAGGCGTTCAGTTGCTCCAATGTCTCAATACCTGGATGACAGTGGAAGGTCGTGTAACTTTTGTAATTACCTAATGTTGCCCAGGTACAGTACACATGTCGGACTTCTTAGCTGCCCAAGGGGGAATTCGAGAGTGCACTATTCGTAACTAATGAACCTGGAAACCTCACTCGGATTTCCTCCGACTGCCTGGTCCATCCCTATCAGGCCCTACTCAACAAGGATAGTACGGATATAGAGAAGAATACCCATCTCCCCAACTGCCATGATCCATCCCGAAGACACACACTGTCGAGACACTAGCCGCCTGCGCCACATGGTTCTGCAACTGCGGTGGTGTCAGCGGCGGGTTATGCGCCGCAGAGACGATCCAGTCGCAACCCCCCTTCTAGGGCCCCTCTCGCCCCCCTCGCCCACCCACTTAGCTTGAGGATGGGTTGCACTGCATCTCACGCTCACTCAAGGGCCAAAATGGTGGTTCGCGAGTGGACGAGGATGATGCTGTCGGAGCCGAGCAAGGACTAAGGGCAGTAAAAAGGGACCGACCCGACACGAGGAAGCGGGATGTTGTGGGACACGGAAAGCTTTCGTTGATAACTGATGGTTCACGGGAAGCTCATATCCCATCCACCCGCCCCCACCATCCATCATCAACCGCGTGGCTCGGAGGATCCGGATCCTCTGACTTCTTCTAAGCCTTATCCTTCCCCGGTTTCGTGGTCGAGATAATATCAGCAACCTGTTCCCCGGATTGGATCGGTTGTGCTCTTTTCTTCCTTCTCTCTTTGTGCGAGGAAGCCCATCATATCACGGACCACCGACCACCCCCTGATTAGACGCGACCAACCGAATCACCCGCGGCAATGTCGTCCAATGATAATGGTAGTGGCCAACCACTGTTCGCCCCAACCGGCAACGACAACATCGCCGAGTTACCCTTCTACGTATGTCAAGACCTCAAACGGTTGGCGGACATACCTCTGTTGTGTCTAGGAGCAAGAGCTAACAGACATGAAAGATCCTAACATGGGTCTTCTTTGCGCTATGCATCATCGCCTTCGCCGTGCGCGTTTACATCCGCTTCGTCTGCTTCCGCAAGTTCGTCCTCGAAGACTACCTCATGCTCATCGCACTCTTGATGCACAGCGCCGAGGCCATCCTGATTCAACTGTTTGTCGGGTATATGTACGATGTCGAGGCCGTCGAGAAGGGCGACTTTTCCGTGGTCGGGCCGGACTTCTTCCCCAATTCCAAGAAAGGCTTCACGGGCCTGGGGACAAGCGTCAACCTGACGATCGTCGGCGTGTTGATTGTCAAGATCAACTTCCTGATCTTCTTTAAGCGGTTGGGGGCTCATATCAGGAAGTTTAACATCGCCTGGTGGTGTGTCCTGGTGTTCACCGTGGCTGGCGCCATCACGCAGATTGGTATGCAAACATTTGGGTGTTTCTTCGGCAGCACCGACTATATCTTCAGCCCGAACTGCGCGGCGGAACCAGCCCTGACGCGCATCTTTATCAATGCCATCTACTCGGCTGTCATCGACGCTGTCTCGGATATGCTGAGTGAGTACTCCCCTGGGTTGAGAATAGAGCTCTTTTCCTGCTGCATCACCAAATAAGCCACTAATGCCCTTTACTCTAGTTGTCTGCTTCCCTGTCTGGATTCTCTGGGGTAGTGGCATTAGCCTTCGCAAGAAGATTGCCCTTACTTTCGTCTTCTCTCTGGTGTGGCTGACCATCGCTATTACCATTGTGCGCGGCAGCATCTTCCACCAACAATACAGCATGGCTGCCTCGGGTGAGGCCGCCACCATGCAAAGCGCCACCTTCACTTGGTTCTGGTTCTACATGGAGTTCAGCGTCGCCTTCCTGATCGCCTGTCTCGTCTCCTTCCGTTCCCTCTTCGTGCAGCGCGCTAAGAAGGAGAGCCAGCCGCGTCAGGAGAAGGCCTGGCAAGAGGCCGCTTATCGCAGTGCCATGCGCCGTGCGCAGCTGCGGAAGGAAAAAGGGCTTATGGGCAAGTGGCACGCGCTCCAAGATACTATGCTCGACAAGTTCAAGACCCTCGAAGGCTGGACCGGGAGCGATGCCGAGACGCTACACGGTGGCAAGGGCGCGCTCCCGAGTGTCCCCTCGGGTTTGATGACGGTCGACTTCCAGGATGACACCAACTGGATGAAGAACCGGTCGGCATCAGGTGTGAGGACGGTTTCGTCCGTGGAGCCACCCGCGGCCATCTCGGAGGAAGAGTCGCCGCTTTACCAATACCAGGTCAGCCCGCCGTACGAGCCGTACGAGCAACAGCGGCCTCAACAACAACAGCAACAACAGCAGCAGCAATCACCGCAATTTCAACCGCCGCGGTATTATCATCAGCCGCAGCAACCGCAGCAGGCGCAGTATCAGAGCTACCAGTCATACCACAACGACCAGTATCAATACCAATACCAGTCTCAGAACAGCGTACCGACTGGCTCAGTACACAGCCAGGAGACGCTTTTGCAAGACCTAGAGCCGGTTCACCTCAAGCCGGTGACCAGCGTGGGTGTGGCGAAGTAGTTGCCTATCACTCTAAATTTTTCTTTTCTATCCATTTTCTTCTACTATTGTCTTGTTCAAACCTCTTATTTTGTTGGAAACGGCGTTGGGAGCATGGTACCTTGGCGTTTGCAACGCCGGGTGGACTGGAGTTTGTGGTTGTCTTCATGGCAGATTATTATGATTCCCTGGGTTGGTGGAGGCATGGAAGCATGGGGCGATGTGTGTATGAGATGAAACATGTGTATAGTCATACAGCGAAGTACAAATCCAGTTCAGTGTCCAAACTTGTACATGTTTTATTTGTCCGTGATGTGATTTAAACTTTAAAAAACTTCTCCAAGACTACCGCACAATCGGACTCTCTCTTCGCTCCAACACGCCCGTTGGAAAACATATCGTGAAAAGTGAGCCAAACCCACGTGCTCCGCGAGTGAGCGACGAACGGATCATGGACATCGTTGACGCAACCCTTGGCAAAGCAACCCCCGCCGACCGGCCACCAGCAGGGCACTTCCCCCTCTCTTTCCCTCTTTCGGCCCTCTCATCCTAGTCTTTTCGCTTATCTCATGCTGAGGGTTACAGTGGGGGAATACCTTGCTAAGCTCGAACGTACCGTACCGTATCGTATTTTACATCCAACCTTACCTTACATGTATTGATCTTACGGTGGTATTGAGTGACAGAATCTGACCTCACCTCACTTTCTCGTGTTGCGTCGCGTTGTGTTACCCTGCCGAGCCTGGTGCCATTTGGCTGTGTTCTGCCCTGCGACTGCAACCTTACGCCTCGCATCTGCAGTTTTAGCAAGCGAAGAAGGTTTTGGAAGAAACCGTATTGTCTTTTTTATTTTGCCGTGAAAGTGGTGTGTGTATGATACCGTTGTACCGCAGAGAGTGCTTTGGGATCCTTCGGCGGCGTGTATTACCACCTTCTCGTGTTGTCGTTCCGTGATTTATCGCGAGGCGTTCTGAGGAATTGTCGAGTGGAAGTGACCTGATGTTGTCCAAGGTCATTGCAGAGTGGAAATGCATGCAGTGAGCGAGCCAGAGGCGGCCGCCCGGAGAAACTGTAAATCGGCCTATCTCCGCCGTCTAGGGCATCTCGCCGCTGTCCTTCAGCGCACACCCCCCCTGTCGTCCCGAACATCAACTCTCCCCCACTCAACGAAACGATCCAATTCCTTGGTTTGTTTCCTTGCTGCCTGGCGCCAGTTTGCGATCTGCTTGGTTCACCTCCGCACTGCCCACGACAAATGCAATCACCAACTGGGCCAGTTACCCGCTGTGCCACGCTGCCGAGTATCTGCCGAATCATCCCAGCACTGTCCAGCAATGCACCTGCCGTGTGCGCGCTTAGGTTTGCCGCGCCACGGGAAGGAGCGGCCTGGACCAACGGAGCGGACTCGCTCGGTAACATCTTGCGGCCTCACGATGTGATTGTGTCCCCAGCCCACGACACAATTCCACTCCATTCTGTCGGATCCATTCTTCATCCCGTCGTTTCCGGGGGTTCGCCATCTCGTCTTTCGCCGGCGGGATTTCGGGGCGGGGAAGAATCAATAACCCCCACCAAGTTCTCCAGAGCGTTCCATCGTGTCTCTCAGTGCCGTCGCATCGTTTGGTGGCATCAGCGCAAAGAGCAGGGGCAGCACGAAGAATCGACATCGGTGCCTGGTTTTCCGCGATTCTTTGCTTGTTTTGGCCGTTGCGAGGAACCTGGGTAGCTTTGCCGAGGACCGAATTGTGCTGAATACCAAGTCGTGTGTTCATGGATGCCCGGCTTTTGTTGTTGTTGCTCCCTGCTCGAGCCCTGCCCGTCCGTAGCTCGCTTATCGACCACCACGAGGCTCGACAAGGTTGAGTTGATGATCCCCTTCTCTGCCGTCCTCGGTTCCCGAACTTTTCGTTTCGTTTCATTTCATCATCCTGGGCTTCCTTTTTTATCCACGAACAACGCTTGGGCGAGCTGATGACCATCTTGAGCCTTCCTTGCGTCCATGGTTCCCAGTTCCCACCAAGCCCTGGGTTCCACTTCGTCAACGGTCGAACCTGTGTCCATCACGCAGCGGGGCGCAGTTCAGGGGGAAGTCCCCGCGTCGCAAACCCGCCAGTGAAGGGGGTGATCGTCTGGACAAGGAACGTCTGCGGCACAGTATTCGTACCCCCAAGGCCATTCTTCTCTCCGAGGAAAACCTGCAGTTTGATGGACAAGGTACAGCACAGTCAGATGGACCAGCGTGACTGGTGGTTCATGTCCAGCTCTCTCCGGCGGCCGGAGCTACGCCTCCCCCGCGGCTGCGAATCTAACGTTAGCCTGGCCCCCTGGTTGCGATTGGTTAGCCCCAACCCGGTCTGATCTGATCGAGCCCCCCTCGCTTCCTGGCTTGCCGGGACAATGGAACGACGACCGGTCGCTTTCTGTGTCTGGTTGTGGCGAAGGATTTGGCGCGCGGCGCGGTTATCGGTTCGGAGGCTAGTGAACCGGACGACGATGTGGGCCTTGGTGAGTCGAGGTGGGCCATTGTATCGTCGAAATGGAATGGATGAGGCGGAGAGAGGGGCAAAGCCGCGGCCGCGTGTGAAGTCCTATGGATGGTATGCATCGGTCCTCTGGTCCTCGCCCGTGTGCAAGTACCCCCGAACGCATCCATGTGATAGCCGACGATGCGCCTGTCTGCGCCTTCTGCTCTCCGTCCTCGTCTGGTGCAGAATACCCCCTCCCCACAGAGTGGCCCAGCACCCCCAAGTGGCGTGCCAATCTCCCTTCGTTGCCGTCCGGGGCCGTCCCGGAGAGAAGGCTGAGGCGTTTATCGCGTTTCACGAACTCCTGCTTCCTTCCCTTTTGCTTCGTCTGTTCTCTATTCCCTCGTAGTGGTGGTGGGTGCGGTTATCGGTGGTTGTTCGGTTCGGCCAGTCAGGCAGCCGGCGGGTTCTTACTTCTCGTTCGGGACTTTGGCGTTGTAAATCGTTTCGGTGGGAGGGGGTCAATAAGGTAGGGTAGTAGGAGGGCCGTTGGGCTTTATGTGTCATCCCCAGAGGTTACACTTTTTTAAAAGTCAGCATCGAACCCCTTCCCACCTCCCTCTCAGAGCTTGGACCCATATCTTGACCGGACTCCCCGAAGAACCCACCTCATGATCCCTCGCAGGATCCTCCGGGCTGCAGAGCAACAGAGCAAGACAGCCAGTCTCTTCTCTTCCCAACCTCACCGCTTGTTGTTGGTGTTTTTACACTTACTCGGTTAGCTAGCTAAGCTTCCTAAGCTGCCCCTAGCTCCCCTCTTCTTGACATATCTATTCGCTGGCCATGGCCTCGCTACTGCTGGCCCTTGCGGCCTTCCTTCTCTGGGCAACAGCCTGGACTGTCTACTCTGCGTATACTTTATACTGCAACTACCTCGAGGCCCGCACTCTCGGCGTGCCCATTCGTATCATCCCCATCGACCATCTCAACAAGCTCTGGTTGCTCGTCGACAAGCAAGTAGTGGCCCTTGTGCGCCGTCTTCCGGGGGTACTGGGCAACAACAATTTCACTCGCTTCAACTACCGCGGCTGGCACGAAGATGACGGACTCCGGGCTCACGACGAGATGGGCGAGGCCTTTGTGCTTTGCACGCCCTCGCGCAACTGGCTGTACCTGGCGGATCCGGACGCTCTGATCAACATGTATCGCCGCGGAAAGGATTTCCCACGGTGGGTGGAAATTACCAGTATGTGTTGGCCCCTCACAAATTTCTGCCTTTTTATTATAGGTGTGCCAAAACCACTAACACGAGCTTGCAGAAATGCTGGATGTCTTTGGCGGCCCCACGATCGCCACGGCCTCAGGCGAGGAATGGCGGAGAATCCGCAAAATCTCCAACTCTGCGCTCAACGAGCAATGCAACGCCATTGTCTGGTCCGAGTCAGCCGCGCTCGGCGAGGCCATGTCGAACTACTGGGCCTCTCAGGGTGTCTTCACCAGCGTCGGCGAAGACTCCCGCACAGTCACGCTACATGTCCTCTCCAAGGCCTGCTTCGGCCAGTCGCTCCCCTTTGAGGGCCACCACGGCCGTGCCTCGGACACCAGTGCCTCGGCGAGTTTCCGGTTCTCTCTGCTGACCATCATGGAGAATGCGTTGCTCATCTTGGCTCTGACACCGAGTTTCTTTACGAACCGCTGGTTGCCGATGCCTGCGGCGTGGCGTAAGCTGGGTGAGGCGTGTGATGCATTCCGGGGCCATATGCGCCAGCTTTACCAACGCGAGTTGCGTGTGCTTGAGGAGAAGAAGCTTACCCCTGGCGAGGAGTCGTTGGAAAAGAAGCGGGATTACACCCTCATGGCCGCGCTAGTACGGGCATCGCAGGAGCGGCCGGACGAGAAGGATGAGGAAGACCGGCGGTTCGCGAACCTGACCGAGGCTGAGATTTACGGAAACATGTTTGTGTTTGCTTTTGCGGGCCATGATACCACCGCTCACTTACTCACCTACGCTGTGTAAGTCACCCTTGGCATAACCAACCACCCTTTCCTTTCCCCCCAATAACACACCTAAATACTAACAACAAACCCCCAGCTTCTTCCTCGCCGCGAACCCCACCATCCAAACCTGGGTCGCAGACGAAATCCAACAAGTCCTCGGCACCCGCCCCCGCTCCGAATGGGACTACCACGCCGACTTCCCCCGCCTCAAGCGCTGCCTCGCAATCCTCTACGAAACCCTCCGCGTCAAGACCCCCGTGTGCGAAGTCAAATGGACCGAAGACCGCGCGCAGCAACTGCGTGTCGCGGGCCAGATGCTGACCGTCCCGCCTCAGACGCTCATGATCCCTAGTTATTTGTATGTGCATAAGCATGCGCGGTATTGGGGGAGTGATGCGATGGAGTGGCAGCCGGAGCGGTGGATTGCGACGAGGGGGGCGGTGAATGAGGCTGGGGGGTTGGGAGAGGGGGGTTTGCACGCGGGGAATAATGGTGGGTATCATCGCCGGGCTAGGCCACATGTTGTTGAAGATGAGAAGGACGAGAGTGCGGACATCTCACAGGAGGGAGAGGAAGAAGTTCTTCTCCCGCCGCCGTCGCGCGGGAATTACCTGGGCTGGTCCGAGGGTGCGCGCGATTGTCCCGGCAAGCGGTTCTCGCATGTTGAGTGGGCGGCGTTTTTGGCGGCTATGTTTCGGGATTGGAAGGTTGAGCCGCAGCAGTTGCCTGGCGAGACGTTTGCGGAATCGCGGACGAGGGTGCTGGACTTTGTGGAGAAGGATACGGATTATGGGGGTTTGTTGTTGCAGTTGATGCATCCGGAGAAGGTGCCGCTTGTTTGGAGTCGGCGGTGATTCTTTTTCCTTTTCTTCTCCCTTTTCTTCTTCTTCTTCTTCTTCTTCTTCTTCTTCTTCTTCTCTTTTTCTCAAGTTGTATTTTCTTCCTTTTCATCTTTTTCTTCTCTCATTTTCCCCTTATTTTATTTTCTTCCTTTTTGTCCCTTTCCTCTCTTCTTTCTGCTTTTATTTTGGTTATGGTGGAGACCGGAAGCTATGATGATGATGACCACGTTGGTGAAGTGGGTGTGTGCATTGCTGCGGATAGCGTTGATATTCCCCTCTTGGATTCATGTACATATTTTGGCATTGTGTTAGATACCCGTGCGGACTACAGAGGTAGACCTGGCATTTCCTGATGTTTGGGCTGAGGAAGACTAGATCTTGGTCTTGAGTTTCCTTTACTGTATGAACAGAATACACTCAACTTGTTCTTCACACTCAAAAGTTCCAAAACGGTTTATTGGTTTATCTCATGTTTGTCACTCTTCTCTGGTACGTACCTAGACGTCCAGCGTACTCTTGACTCCCACCGGCGCCGGATAGAGTCACCGATCATCTCACTCGATGTCTCACATAAACCACCAACTCAAATGTGACAGGCCTGGCCCCCGAGCCCCAAGAACACCCGAAGACGCAGTAATCAGCTCGGCAACGCTGGCCTCACCTCATCACAATGCATGCGCTCTCTACATACATCCTCTCTACAATTGGCAAATAATTCGCTAAACACTCATCTCAAAGCGCTCTCAACCAACCTCTGCGCACAACACTAAAGCGGCACAGGTTGTCGTCACTTCCGCTTTGCTCTCCGGCGCTGCCCGTGGCCACTCATGTCGGCTCCGGCAATTGGCCGACTGCCCGGGCTGCCCGCCGACCCCACGCCTGTGGCTGATGAAGGAGGCTCCTTTCTGATCAATGATACGGGCGGTTGACGAGTTCTGCAGGTTGTGAAAAAGAAAAAAAAAAAGAAAGGCTGCAGATGAGGACGGGAGGTGAGGTAGCTCCGATAACTTGCGTCTGACAGGCGTCGCTTGGCTGTGTAAGTGTGGCGGGTGCTTCTTGGTTCTCTTCACCGGCTCTCGCTTGTGGGTGGGTGGCCGTGGCAGGAGGGAGAAGGGAGACGGTCGGTCTGGGCAAAACCGGCTGTGGCCGTGAGCTTCATGCAGGTGATTTCCAAGCGTCGTTGTTAGTGCCAAAATAAGCGCCGTGTGGGGGCGGCCGCTGAAGGAAGAGACGAGACCTGAGCTGGGGTTCGTCTGAAACCCCACAGGACTTCCGTGCGGAGATTCTATTTTGGGTATTTCAAGAAAGTCGGTACGGATAACACGTGTTGTAGTTCTCGAGAGGGGAAATAATTCATGAAACACAAAAGGTGGTCATTTGGTGACATTCTCTGGCTGTGGCGAGTGATATTCGTGCTGCCTATCACGCTCAGTCGTATCGTTGAAACCCCCAACGCAGTTTTACCAACGAACTTACCAAGCGCTGCTGCGCTGCTTCGTAACAACGCCTGTGCCGCGAAGATGCAGCGCGCCCGGAGAAAGTTCGGGGGCATCCATGGCAACTGTCCCTGGGACTTGCCTAATTGGGATGACGATCGGATTGTTTTAAAGACACCCCACCATGTTTTCTCCCGTCACGGTCGATGGTATTTAAGTGGGTCTGTTCTGTATGTAATTACATCTGTATCCATTACGGCCCTGAGGCGGGCTGAGCTCCGCCCCTGAGGAACGTCCACTCGCCCGGGACCGAGCAGGGAAGTTCTCGAAGGGGCCAAAATTTGGAATGATGAAAGTTGTCGGGACAATCCGACACGAAGCACTTCACTTTGCCGGGCTGTTCTGCCATTTCCCCCCTCGGTTGATGTGGTTTCTGTTGCTTGGTGTTTTTGGTCACCTAAATTTCACGAGTCGAGTGTGTGCAATTCTCACGAATCGTGTGTGGGGTACGTGACTTACACGCATTCTCTTCTCTGTGAGAGACCGAACCGTGCTTCTTCTCAACCTCGGGATCTGAGACCATTCCAAGTCAGGAACACCGTACCGCCATCATGGCCTCCTTACTTCTCCCAGCTGTATTCGCAGTCTTGGTTGTCTTTTGGCTGCTCGGTTACCTTTTCTCAGCGCCTTACGATCCCCAAGAACCACCACTGGTCAAACCCAAAATCCCCTTCATCGGCCACATCATCGGCCTCCTCCGCCATGGCACCAGATACTACTCCATGATCGCGTATGTCCCCTCACTCTCTCCCTATGAACACTTCCCACTAACTCCCCCCCCAGAACCACCACCCACCACCCCATCTTCACCCTCCCCGTCCCGCGCGGCAAAATGTACATCGTCACCTCCCCCTCTCTCATCGCCGCCTGTGACCGGCGCGGCAAAGTCGTCTCCTTCGCCCCCTACGTAGTCGAGTTCGGCAAACGCATCCTAGCCGGCAGCGCGCACAGTGTTGGGCTGCTGTCAGAGGACTTGCTGGAGGAGAAGGGACCGCATGGGAGTTTGCGGACTGAGACTATGGCGGCTATGCATCGGTCGCAGGTTCCGGGGCCGTACTTGGATGAGATGATGAGGGTTACGTTGGTGAGTTCGGTTGGGTTTGTGGATGAGACGTTGTTGGGTGGTGGTGGTGCGGGGGAGGGAGTGGAGGTTGGGTTGTTTGCGTGGGTGAAGAGGTTTATGACGGTTGCTGGGACGGATGCGGTGTATGGTGCGGAACGGAATCCGTTTCATGATCCGGAGGTGGCGGATAGTTTTTGGTGAGTTCTCTCTCTTTTCTTGTTCTCTCTCTCTTTGGCCTACGACAAGTGCCACACACTAACACCTCATCCAGGGCCGTCGACAAAGACTTTGCCCTCCTCGGCATGATGTTCCTGCCAGATTTGCTCGCCCCTAAAGGTAGCCGCGGCAGGAAACGTTTCTTCCAGGCTTTCCGGGAGTACTACGCATCCGGTGGTCTCGAGACGGCGTCCTACCTCATCAAGGCTCGGCACGAGGCCAACAAGAAATACGGCATCTCCGACGACGACATTGCCCGCTTCGACCTCGGCGTCTGCACCGCCCTGCTCGTCAACACAGTCCCCGCCATGGGCTGGATGCTCTGTCACGCCTTTTCCAACGCGACCCTGCTCGCCACGCTCCGAAGCCAAATCGAAGCCGTCGTTTTCCCCAACGGCGTTCCTCCTCCCTTTGGCACCACTACTAATACAGCAACAAAAATCAACATCCACACCCTCACCACCTCTATCCCCCTCCTCGAGTCCTTCGTCCGCGAAGTCCTCCGCGTCCAAAGCAACAGCGCCTCCGCCCGTTTCGTCCTCCGCGACACCCTCCTCCGCGACGACACCACGGGCGCCTCCTACCTCGTGAAAAAGGACTGCTTCCTCGGCATGCCGTCGGCGCCGGTGCACGGCGACCAGACGGTGTGGGGCCCGGACGCGGGGGTATTTGATCCGGAGCGGTTCTTGCCCGAGCGCGTGGAGGGGAAGAAGAAGGTGCCTGCATCGGCGTGGCGGACGTTTGGAGGGGGGAATGCACTGTGTCCAGGGAGGCATTTGGCGTTGAGGGAGATTATGAGTGTGTTGGTGGTGTTGGTGTTGAGGTGTGAGATTGAGCCGTATGAATTGGGGAAAAGGGGGCCGTGGCGGATTCCGGCGAAGAGACATCATATTTCGACGAGTATTCTGACGCCGAAGGAGGATATTAAGGTGAGGATTCGGCCGAGGGAAGGCCTGGAGCATGTTAGGTGGGAGTTTGTGTGGGAAGATGAAGCGACTGGGGTGGTCAGCAGTTGAGGTTAAATTCTGTGAATGTACTTTGAGCCACTTTTTCTTCATAAATCCACTGTCTTGAACCCAACCTACACTTTCAACCAGTACACTCGTTGTAATTGAGGATCGGATCCATCCGGAGCCCTTATACAACATTATACCCTCATGGCTTTTTGAGTGGCTGCTCATACTTGTCGAAATTCCAGGTAGTATACTTGACGACCATTTTCGTTAATTATGTGTGTTGTTTGGACTCTGATAAGCCAATCATTTGAATCTCCACCAGACTGAACGCTCTTAGCAGTCTAAATAATGAGTGGGCCTCTTGAAAACCTTCGGAACCGAAGGGCAAGCACTCAAAAGACCTTTCAGGCGTGAGAATGGAATAACCGTACCTGGTGTGGTAGATTCGACGAGGTTGACATTGTTTAACACGAGTGGCTCCCAAAGATTCCCATGTGACTACCAGGTAACTTAGATACCAGTCCTGGACCCAGTTTCCTTTTGCAATTGAGACGACTCTGTATGATTCAAAGGTGGTTCGAGAATGAGACTTTAAGGGAAGGTTACACCCGGTGGCTTGCTCTTGCCTTCCAGAATGAGGGCCCAAGTTCCCTTGGTTTTGAAGTCTTTGTCTTGTATCATCTATACAACTTTCTCTTTGTGAGAAAATTGTCAATCATGGGCAGTGCTTGTTAACTCACCTTTCGATAAATTCACAATTCTTATTCACAAACGCTTGTCTCCCTTGAAATTTCTGCATGCCAACTGTATTGCCCTGACCTTGCGAGGCAGCAAACATACTGCCACCAACACCGTGATTTCGCGCCAACAGCATCAACCCGTAACCATAAAATCCAGGCACGAAGCCCAGTCACCTGAACAGAACAGCCGCGCGGGAAACATTTATTTCATTGTCCATCACCTGACATTACGGCTTTTTGACCTCCCAGGCCGCCTTCGAGGTCAGCCTCCCTTCCACCTGCACATGGCTTGACAACGTGTAATCAAGTAACCGCCCCAGCCATTTTTTTCAAGCGCTGACGGGGGTTGGACATGGCTCGCTTTGTTGGCTGCCACGGGACTGCGTAGGGCTGGCCGCGCCAGTACCGCCCTGATGTTTTGCCCGTGACGTTCTGACACGCCCGCGGCCTCTGAAGTGCACGAAAGGGGATAAATATGGGAGGGTCTCTAAGGGCCACTGATCCTTCCTCCACCTCTTATTTTTGAGTAGACAGACCGAATTCGACCTCCCAGATCATGGCGAACACTTAGAAGGAAAACAGGATCAGCGAGAAAACCAAAGAGAGAAGAAGAGAAGGTCAATATTTCAACGCAACATCTCCAACGACACGATGCCCGACCCGCAACAAATGGCGGGAAGTGGGCTTTCGTGCAAGGGATCCTGGGGCTCCCTTGACGATTTGCGCCCCTCTGATATCAGAAACTACCTCTCGATACTCGACACACTCAAATCAAATGGTGTCTACGAAGAATACAAAGCGCCGCGGATCGTGATACTGGGCTCGCCGTCGTCAGGCAAGACGGCCGTGCTGCGAGAACTCACGCATGGCCTGTGCGACCTTCGCGACGGCAGCGGATTTGACCGCGAGGGGAAGCACGTCACGACCCGATTCGCGACCAAGTACGTGCTGAGCCGATCCCGCGAAGAGTCCACGACGGTCAGCCTCTGTGGCTCTCCGCCATTCTGGGCCCAGTGTGGGCGCCATGATAAATGGCCGAGGCCTAAGAGGGTGGATGACATAGAGCAGCTCGATGAAGCCATTCTCAGTGCCAAGCGGCTGCTGCAAGAGGACAACTCGGCCAGTCATAACCCCTCAGATGCTGAAACGTCGGCGAGTGTGCACGAGTTGTGCATCGATATCGCCGGTCCGAACCTCACTCCCCTAACCCTGGTCGACTTCCCGAGCATACTCGAGAACCATCAGCAAGAAGGCCTGGCGCCCCGAAACTCGCCCTTGGTCGACACCGTCGACTACATGATTAAGACTTACTTAACGGCCCCGGAGAGCATGCTCCTAGCTGTTGTCTCGGCCGACGAGCCGCTTTCGCTGCAGGCTGAGTTTGTGCTGAGCCAGGAGCGTCGCTACGACGAAGAAGAACACCGCACCATTGGTGTGGTCGCGAAACCCGGCGGGGCACCGGCCTCGGCATCCGACAATAATGAGTTTCTGGATCTTGTTTGTGGAAACGGAAAGCATGAGAACGGGAAATACCAGCTGAATCACCCGTGGCACGTTCTACGAACCCACGCGCCCGGCGAGAAACCGGTAACCTCCGAGGAGTTGAGGTCACACTTCTTCCAGGAGAACCCAAGTTGGTGTAAAGTTCCCGGAGACCAGAAAGGCGTGCTTTCTTTACGAAAGCGGATCAGGGCCGTGGGACAGATCTATCTCGACCAGCAGATCGTTTCGCAGTTGTATGCTTCGATACAGAGGACTCACAGTCTTTGGATGAGGATTTTGCGAATCCACCAGACACGCGTTGGTCTCTTGGAGCAGGGGAGCCAGGAATCCCGGAGAGAGGCCCTGCTGGGTGTGGCCAAAACGTTCAAGCAGCTGGTGCAGGATGGGATCAGCAACGGGAAAAATTCAAGTCAGTTTGTCGACATGGAGAAAGCGTCAAACCCAGGGCACGCCTTATGGGAGGCGTTGCGCCTCGCTCAGGAGGATTTCAAAAAGGACCTCAAGGAAAGGGGGCATGGGTTCGTGGTGCTAGACGACCAGGACAGAGCGGTAGGTCACGATGGCGGCGGGCATCACAAGGAGCAAGAGGGCGAGGAGGATGACAACCGCGGCGAAGTCGAGGACAGCGCCAAACCCCGCTTTCTCGATTCTGAGTGCCCCCCGGTCCGACCTTCCAGAGCGCCTGACCAAGGCCGAGCTAGTCCAGTCGTGCCTGGAAGAGCGGCTCGTGAGCTTCCCGAGTAATCCCTGCTCGGTGCTGGCGAGCGTGTTGATGCGAAGGCTGACCCAACGGTGGGAATCGTCGGCATCGCGTTATATCGAGGTGGTGGCGCGGAACGTGCAGCCATTTATCCAAATCACGTTATGGCAAAGCTGTATCCAGGAAAACTGGAGCGGACAGGAGAAGGACCATGCTAAGAAGAGAGTCGCTCACGTAAGCCCTACCTACAAGGCGCTCATGGACCGCTTCGTCAAACCATTCCTTGACGCCAGAAAGGACATGGTCTACAAGCAGCTGGTTACGCAGGTGCGCCAGTATGAAGACGGGGGGCCGTTTGTGGACGGCCTGGGTGTTTTGGGGCTCGGTACGCCGGGCCAGGGCTTGGAAGCTAGCATGATAGGCGGACTGAAAGTTAACAACTCGAAAGTCTGGCTCGACATGTTTGGGGGTATTTTGGACACGGTTTTGTCACAGTATGCCGTAAGTCAACACTGTCCATCGACTTACTGGGGGTTGGGACACTAACATTAACAACATCAGATATTGAGAGACTACTTTGCCGACGCCATTATCGGTCAAGCGGAGCTCTATCTAGTCTGCAGTCTCCCTGGAATCATGCCCGAGGATGAAATAAGCAGCCTGCCGCTCGAAGAGGTGGATAGGATCGCTCCCTTAGATGAGAGACTCCAAAGCTTGGAGAGCCAGGTCCAGCTATTGAGCCAAGAGCTTCTGAAGTTCCCGCAGGATTTGGTTCGAGGTTTGTTTGTTCTCTCAGCTTCGTTGAATACACAAGCTTGACGCTCTAGAACTTTCCACTTTGATCCCCAAGAACTAACCCGTCTCGGACATTAGACCCTCTGCCCGAGGGAATACACAAGGCGGATGATGAGAACAAGAGAAAAAGACAGGACACCCAGCGTAAGACCCGGCCTCACTCACGCCCGTTGACTCTCTCATCATATCATTCTGACACTCCACATATAGCTGAGAGTAACGAAGTGACTCCATCAGCCTCGATCTTAGCAGCTAAAACGAAGGAACAACCACCTCATGACCGCCCCGCTAAACGTGTGAAGATCCTCCTCACCCGATCCGGCGACCTCCTCCGGTCCGTCAATCTCTTCCGATTCAGGAACCAGCACTTTTGACGACAGTACTTCCGGCCAACGCGGGAGTTCCTCCTTTATCCGATCGCAAGCCCCATCCCCGAGTGACGGACCCTCACCCACCGAGCCCTCGCAGACTGCCGGGGCTACAACAGCTCCAGGGACCGACGAAGAGCCAACCATGCCGGCCACGCCGCGGATCCCTCGACTTCCCACGCCGACGGGGACACCCCCCAAGCCGCTCTTGCAACACCCCAAGAGCTTGTTTTCTACTCGTCCTACGGAGGGTCTCTCTGATACTGATACCGCAGCACATCGCATGATATATGGCTTTGGAGAAGGCGAGTACCTGCCCGACGACGCCGAGAAACCTATCCACGAGCAGTATCCTGATTGGCCGCCAAAGTTCCTCAACAACCGCAGACTACATCCCATCACCAAAAATATCACACAATTCGAATACAATATTTGGCGAGCGATTAAAAAGCTAGAGGCTAAAAAGCGAGGGGCTAAAAAGCCAAGGGCGATTTCGATCGGTGGAGGAGGTGATTGAGGTTGCTGGAGGGAGTATTCACCCGAGCAAGAGAAAGAGGTTATAGAGGAGGCTGGTGTGACGGGAAGAGCAATAGGGGGAATGTACGGTAGGTAATGAACATTACGATGTTTGGCAGGGACAATGAAACAGTGATTTAAGGATTTGACAGGTTCAACTTCCCCTGAAGTGTAATTACAGAATATTCACTGAACTACACCAAACTTACCTCTATAATCTCGTATATTCTGTCCCCCCTATTTCTTTTCCTGATGCCTATCCACCAACCCCCCTCTCCCCCCCCCCCCCTCCAACCCATTCCAACCACCCCCCACCCCCCCCCCCCCCCCCCCCTCCCC